CTATCCCTATCCCTATCCCTATCCCTATCCCTATCCCTATCCCTATCCCTATCCCTATCCCTATCCCTATCCCTATCCCTATCCCTATCCCGCTCTGTTCCCTCCATCCCGCCCCTCTGCAGCCCCCCGGACCCCTCACACCGACCCTACCCCACTCACCACACCGGCACTGTTCACACACTCCACCACCCGCCCTCACGCCCGGTCCGGCTCCGCCCATCCCTCCACGCTCACCAATCAGCGCAGACGCTTCCAGCAGACTCCACCCACTCCGCCGGCTCCCGCCACTTCTGCTTCCCCGCTCTCTGGGCCGAGCATCGCGTTAGGTGCTTATCGCTCGCTGATTGGCCAGCGGCCTCTTCCCTGAAGCCAATCGCATTGACAGAAGAGGGAGAAGTTCTTCCCCCCTCCGTCAGTCACCTCTTGGACCCGCCCCAGCCACCTGTTGGCCAATAGCAATTGTCCAAGCACCTCCCAATAGGAGTAAGGGTTGCCATGGCAGCAGCTTGGCGGCATTAGCCAATGAGAAAGCGCAACTGTCAGGACCGGAGCCGCCGCAGGGATGGTGAGCGCGGCCCGGCCCGGCTCGGCTCTGCCCGGCTCGGCCCGGGGGCGGCCTCAAGCCGTGCCCTGCTTCGCTTTTCTCCGCTCCGGCTTCCCGGTGCCACGTCCACGCTGGGGGCTGAGGCTGGCGCTGCCCTGCGGGTCTCACCCACCCTTCACGGGGCGACACGGACTCATCCTCCTTTGCTCTTGTGCTGCTGCGCCAAGGCCTCCAGCTTGCCGAAGCCCTCGCAGGGAGGCGCGTCCCAGGGGGAAGAAAGCGAAGCCCAAGCTGGACCTCACCGAGGAGCAGAAGCGGGATATCCGAGAGGCTTTCGACCTCTTTGACACGGACGGCTCTGGGTATGTGGATGTTAAGGAGCTAAAGGTAAGAATGTGCCTAGTGCTGAAAGCACAGTTCTGCTGAGGGCATGAATAATAGGGGCATAAACACCTAAATATCCTTAAACGGGAGAGATCCCCCCAGCTTAAAACGCTGTTGTCAACAGGTCCATTTGTCTCTTCATTGTAGCTCTGTCCTGCTGCTACTATGTGTCTCCAGGGCAGGGCTGGCCAAAGTACGTGGATAGTTCTGTATTTCTGTACCATCACCTTCTCTGTTACTAAAACATCAAAGAGGGGTTGTGCGTATTAAAAATGTGGGGTTTTTTTTCCCTGCTTGTGTGTTGCTGAGGACTGCTGCTTTGGAAATGGGGCTGTCCGAGCTATGGAACACACCGGTGGGATTTGTTTTCATGCTTTTATTTATTGCAAAACATTTTCAGTCCCTCCCCACCCCTGTCCTGTTGGAAGAATAGTAACCAATAAATCAGGAGTTACTTTGCTTTCAAAGTTTGCCTTTCCTCTTTGTAGCTGGATATCCATGTACTTAAGACCGTGGAAGGAGAGAGACCTGATTCCAAACTTGCCACTTGTCCCTTTATCAGAGGAACTAAGACTGAAGCGTGTAGGTGGGCACTGGTCACCAAGTGAAGGCATCCTCTGGTGCTCTGCTTATAGAGCTGTTGTCAAAGGCACAGAGTGTTTGAGCTGTGTTTTCCCAACGTCCACTGGAAAACATTTTTGTCACTAGAATAAAAAAATCAACTGATTGAAGTTCCCTGAGGTCTCTCATCTTCAGACCTCCCATGTTTGTGCCATCAGATCCGCTTGTTAGAGTCCAGCAGAGCTGCACGTGTGGTAGAAGCTTCTTTCATAGAGTCACTTGGCTTGAAGTTGGTTGAGACACTTCTGGGTGTCCCATTTGCTTTCTTGCTTACAACAGGCCCTGAAATAAGCTTTATTATCACTATTAATATTCCTCAGTGTTGTGTTTCTCATTGCAAAGGGAATAATGGTAGCAATTCCCCTGACAGGAGTAGCATAACATTCAGTTTTCCAGCAGCCTTGGAAATTGCTCTCCACAGTCCTCTGAGACAGTTTGGGATTTTTCCTTCAACATATGAATGGCAGTGGCACTCTCTGAGTGCCCATCACAACAATTTTACAAAGCACTTACCAAAATAGGCTTTTGTAAGACGAAATCCACATTTTATCAGAGAAAACACTTCTCCAAGGCTCTGTTACAGAGCTTTGTCCTCCAGAGTCTCACCAGTTCTGAGCCGGGGTGGGTGATATGGTTTTTCTGGGGACATAAGACTTGGGTTTCAAAGTGATAAACTTCAGCTTTCCCCCCTTTCTCCTGTGGTTCTGTTTAGAGTTTTCTATGATTTAGAATTGGTTTTTTGTTTTTACAGGTGGCCATGAGAGCACTTGGGTATGAACCTAGAAGAGAAGAGATCAAGAAAATGGCATCAGATATCGATAAGGAAGGAATAGGAAAAATCAGCTTCAGTGGCTTCTTAAGAGTGATAACACCGAAAATGGTATGTGACGTTAAAAAGCACTTGTGAAAGTGGTGGAGCACTTCTTAAAACATATTGAATAAAACCAGATATTTAACAGTAGAAGATCCCAAATCTGAAATCCCAGAGACATCTGGCCAGCTATGAAAGAAAAATCATTCCCTGAAGCCCTGGTTCAGGAACCCTTCACATTTTCTACATGTGCTTCCTTCTGGCTGGCCTTGGTTAAATTTGCTCTTCAGCGAGTTTCTTAGTCTAATGCTTGTCTTTATATTGAGTGTTACCTACCACATAACCACTACTTATTCTTCCTTCTTTAAGGCTGAAAAAGATTTCAAAGAGGAGATTCTCAAGGTCTTCAAACTGTTTGATGATGATGGAACTGGTAAAATCTCTTTCAAAAACCTCAAACGTGTCGCCAGAGAACTGGGGGCGAATCTCACGGATGAGGAGCTGCAGGTTTGTTTGAATGGGAATTACCTCAGTGAGGGAGGGAAGCTCAGGGCCAGCTTCCAGGCAGAGGCAGCAGCCACTCGGGTTTAGCTGCTGTCCTCTAAACGAATTGTTAGGAAAATCTGCCCTTCCTGGCAGGAATGGAAGAGCTCCTGTTAGTCAGGGATTGGGGATCACTGATTTTCATGAGGGCTGGAGCACCTCTGCTGTGGAGACAGTCTGAGAGAGCTGGGCTGGTTCAGCCTGGAGAAGAAAAGGCTCCAGGGAGACCTTAGAGCAGCTCCAGTGTCTAAAGAAGCTACGGGAAACCTTAAGAGGGGCTTTAGACAAGGTCCTATAGGGTCAGGACAAAGGGGAACGGCTTTAACCTGCCAGAGGGGAGACTGAGATCAGGTATTAGGAAGAAGTCAACTTTTTGTGGCATAACAGGTCTGGCGTTGTACCACTGTCCCCTCCAATGCAGTGTACTAAAAAGTTGTTCTAATTCTGAATTAATCTGCTAATCCTAATCCAGTCTAGCCTGCCTCTGATTCCTGAACACAAATATCTTCCAGGAAATGATCGATGAAGCGGACAGAGATGGGGATGGGCAAGTGAACGAGCAGGAATTCCTGAGCATCGTGAACAAGATCAGCCTCTACTGAAACAGTTTCACTTCTCTTTTGCACATCTGTATAAATATTTAATAGGTGCCTCACTTTTTTACAGCCTTTAATTCTTTTCAGACAGCAAAAAATGCGGGTCAGTGTTCTTGAAGTGAATGTTCTTACACTTGTGTTTGTGAGCAGTTACCAGCTGCAAACCTATTTAGGTGTAACAGCGTGGCTGCTCCTTAGTGCTCGTAAGATCTTTACACTCTGTGTATAGATCACATTTGTCAGTGCCAATGTTCACACCCTTCTCTGACTAAAACCCATGTGTCAAATGGTTATGGTTAGGTAAAGAGAGGACTCAAAACCTGATAGTGTGAAGCTGTTATTCAGCAGTTGATGGTTTTAATTTGGTGCCTTGGTTTGGGTGCAGCTGCAGTGAACTGTTTATATGACATATTTGCAGGGATCAGCACTTTATACTCTGTTTGACAGTGATTACCCTCCTCCCCGTTTTTAGTATGTTCTTTAAAAATAAAGTAATAAATAAATAGACTGCTGCAACGTATTGTACTGCTGCTCAGTACCCACCTTCAATGAAATCTCTTTGCATCAGGAGAGGAAAGTGGGCAGAACTGCTGCTGCAAGCTCTGGATAGTTGCAGGAATATTCAGTGGCTTCACATATAAGATTGTATTTAAACTAAAGTGTCTTATTTTAAGCCATCAGAGTTGTGGAATGAAGCACACAGATGGCACAGCAGGCCCTCTGGTCTGCTGCCAGAGAAACAGCTGACTCTTTGCTTGCCCTCATTTACCTTCATGAAACCCCACACAGCTTCATTACTTCTTTCATAGAATGCCAGATGGGTGTGGGTTGGGAGGGACCTTAAAGCTCTTCCAGTTCCAACCCCTGCCACAGGCAGGGACCCCTTCCACTAGAGCAGCTTGCTCCAAGCCCCTGTGTCCAACCTGGCCTTGGACACTGCCAGGGATGGGGCAGCCACAGCTTCTCTAGGCACCCTGTGCCAGTGTCTCAGCACCCTCACAGGGAAGAGCTTCTGCCTAAGATCTACTTACCTTTACATGTGTATGGGTTCTGGAGAAGAAAACCTGGCCAAGACTGAGAACCTCTGTCCACAGTGAGCTTTTAGGAGGTGAAGTTGTCCCACCATTCTCACCCACTTTCCTACCCTGTCTGTGAATTTCCTCTTGTTACATTTTCATGAGCACACCAGGATAACATTAATCTAGAAAGGCTGGACCAGGAGACCCTTGAGGTCTCATTCAATCTGGGATTCTATGATTTTCTTAGCACGAAGAATGTAACCTATTCTCGTTAGACCTGTATGCTAACGTGGGTTTGATTCTGCTTTCATCAGTGTCACATTCATGTCCAAATCCAGGTTCTAACAAATCCCAGCAAAACAAGTGGGTTTTCCTGCTGGTGACTTCTTGTATTATTTTCCCACTCACTGGACAACAAGTAGCACACGGAACATACCCTAATCCTGAGTAAAAGGCAAAAATGAAGCAGAATTCAGCCTGTGTAAAGTGTCAGCTTTTATTCAGTATCACAACCGCACTCCTGCCTTTTGCCACGAACCCATCTGTGAGGTGGAGGTGTGGGGCAGCCTTGCAGTGCTGCCAAAGGTGGATGTTTGAGGAGTCAGACAGAGACTATTCCTGTTGACACATGACATGTTCATGCTGGGACAGCCCAGTCACACTGACATGACCTAGGCAACTCCTCAGCCACTCTGAACCAAGGGCAGTGGCTGTGCTTGAGCCCCAAGGAGACCTGGGTTCTGCATGCCAGCTCCATGTGTGCCCACAGTCCAGTTCCTAGCAAGCTTGCTCTCACTAAGGGCTCTGTCCTTGGCAGAACACAACAGCACTTGTATTCCTCTGGAGTTCTGCCTCCTCAGCAGCACCAGTGGCCCGATGGGGGGGAAGAACTCCATCGTCTGAGCAGCAGTCTGCCTGCTGAGATGTGGATGTGAAAGGGGAAGACCGTTATCTGCACTCCACAGGAGATGGATTCTGTGGCTTTGTGGCATTCAGGCAAGCCTGACTACTTCTTTGACCATCTTTCCAATGCCATCGTAGATGTCATGGATGGGGGCGTTGCACATGAAGGCACTGGTGGTCACCAGCTTGTTCTTCACATCCACATGGATTTCGGTGACGTGTTTGTTCACATGCTTACAACCAAGCTCCTTCATGGTCTCTGCAGTCTTGGCATAAGGCCATCTACAAGAAGAAAAGAGAATGAACCCTGGGTGGGAAGTTGTCATTGCACAGAGTGACTGATGAAGCCAGGAATCAAAGTCTGGATTACCGGGAGATGGATGGTCCCTACAGAAAGCCAGCTCAATAGGGTCCCAATGTTCTCCTGTCAGGGGAGTTTCTCTGGGACTATAGAACCAGGAAAACCTCCACATTACAGTGACATAATAAAACAATTCTCCCAGGTACTTGAAAGGTTTCAACTTTTAACTGTTAAGTGCCCCCCCCAAGGGCCCTGGTTACTAAACGCTTCACTCCAAAGGCAGAAGCTATGTCACAGTTTGTCTTTGAAGTGGTGTCTGTCAAAGTAAGAGCATAACTGAAGGGTGGCTTTTGCCATGTGTTGGAGGGAAACAAGCTCCCTCCTGTTACTTCTCTTTGTTTCACTGATCCCTCTGGTATTATCCTTCCCTACTCCTAGTAAAGGGGAGGACAGATTCCTCCTGTCCAGGAAGCTTAACATTGTCCTGTCTCATTTATTCCTGTATGATTCTTGCAGTCTCTTGTACTTCACATGGTAAAACACCCCCATTGCAGAAAACGGTCCAAATAAAATCAGTTTTCTACTTTAACATGAGGAACATGTAAATTACAAAGGGGGGCATTAAAAACGCTGCGTATTTGATTTATCAACCAGGTTAATGCATGACACGAATCATTCTCAGAAACAATGTTCAGCTCATCACAAGACTTCTGCTATCAGGACATGATAGGTGGGACAAGGCACTCTATACAGCAGGGGGGCATTGCTGATTCCATGACATTCCTGGTGGGATCTCCTCTGGGCACACTGAGGTTACTCACTTCTCACACTCTGTGTCATGACCCACTGTCAGCTCACAGCCTGGGAAGATCTTGGCTGCCAGCACTGGGGAAATGCAGCACAGGCCAATGGGCTTCCTGGCAGCATGGAATGCCTTCAGGACATCCTCCACCTCTTTGGAGATGATGCAGTTCTTGCCTTGGGTAGCCCAAGTACTCAGGTTTTTAGCCACTCCAAAGCCACCTGAGAGAAGAGGAACAGATTAGACTGGAAGATCAGTACTCCAGGGCAGGATTTTCCCAGGTATTACTTGGTAGGACACTAAAATGGATTGGGTGCATGGCAGCATTTGCCCAGTGGGATAAAGGAATTAAGAGCAGACAAGCTGAACGTCTGTGAGCTGACTGCCAGCAGATGAGACATCACAGCACCTTGCTTCCCTCCAGGACTGAAGGAGAGTTATAAATGCTGTGATCGGTGCTGTGTTTCACATGCAAATTCCATTTTTTCACCCATGAATTAGGGTGGAACATAGAATCCCCGAGTCAGAATCAGCTAGGTTGGAAAAGACCTTTAAGATCATCAAATCCTGACAAGTTTTCACTTGTCCCTTAATACTTGCTCCAGGCCTAATCCATCCCCACTGAACTGCACGGTCCTGATAAGGAGGTAGCATATTGGAAAGGGAGAGGGTGGGTTTGCACCCAGTGAAAGCAAAGCTCAGTAGATGGCAGGATGCTGTCCTACCTGGTATGATGAGGGCATCCAGCCCCTTGACATCCAGCTTGGCTAGGTCCTTGATGTTGCCTCGGGCTATCCTGGCACTTTCAACCAGCACATTGCGCTTCTCCTGAGTTGGCTGCCCTTTCACGTGGTCCACCACATGCATCTGGTCAACATCAGGAGCATAAACCTCTGCCTGGGGAAAGAGGGGAAAAGTCTGTTATCCTTTAGCCTTGTACCCTAAGTGTGTTAAAGATGATAGGTAGTGAATGAAAACGCTTGAGTTACTGCATTAGGAAAGAAATCTATTTTCGGTTCTCTATTATATTCCATTCCATTCCATTCTATCCTTTGCTTTACTTCTTTAGACCAGCATGACCGACAAATAAAAGCAAGGGATTGAACTAACACCTGAGTTTCCTCCACTAGAGGCCTCTGCTCATCCAGGGATGCGGCAGGGCTCTGCTCCCAGCTGCCAGCGCAGGGAATGGCAGGAGGGAACCGAGCGCAGCAGCTCCAGCAGGCAAGAGGCAAAATTACACACGCGGTGGACGAAAGGTCTTGATTCTTAACTTTAAGCCGGAGAATTCCTGCTTTGAAGGCTTTGGGATTGAGTGCCCTGGCTCCGCAGCACGGGTCCATCACTACCGTGCCGTTGTATTTAACTGGGGCATTCCCATTCCCAGGAAAAGAGCTCCGAGCTGAGGGTGATGTTACACAGGGCTTCTCTCCCCCCTCTTCCAGGCTCGCACAAACGGCACATTAGAACAACTGCCTGAGGGTTGCCTCTTTTACCCCTATTCAAGTTCATCTAACAAGAACTTGGCTGTTTTCAGTTCTCATCTTCCAGGGGGTCAAAAAGACGAATTCCAAACAGCCCAAACCAGCAGTAATCTTTTAGCAGAAGCAGAGGAGAGGGAGTGCAAGCCAAGAAGAACTGAGAACGTGCTTAGGGAAGTTTGTTTCAGTGTTTGGAAACACTCCATGCAGAGCTCCAAGCCCTCATACAACAAAGCTGTGAGGGCAGAGCAGAGCCCAGGGAGTTCACGCTGGCTGCAGCATCCCCTTCGCTGTGCTGTTCACTCTGACTCCAGTCACTTACACTTGGCAAACCCCATGGCAGCGATGGGGAGCTCAGGGTTTGTCCAGCAAAGCTCCATTGAGATAAAAGAGAGGGGTTGGGAAGCAGAGCAGGGCGAAAGGAGCCGGAGATGGAGTTGGTGCTGCTGGGGTGCCTCTTACCTGTGCCCCTTCCCTGCTGAGATGCACCAGCACGGCCGAGGACTCGTGGATCTCACTCCCATCGTACACCCCGCAGCCAGCCAGCACCACGGCCACTCGCTTTCCCATGGTCACAGCCGGAGCAGGAGGATTCCCAGGAGAACCCGGACTTGCTGTGAGTCTCTGTTCAGCACCCGGAGTCTTTTATAGCCCGATCCCTCCCCCTGGAGCAGGTGGGGCTGGGAGGGTTGGGCTCAGACTCTTCCTGGCAGGAAGGTTTTATTTCCAGTACCACAGGCAGGGCATGTCAATATTATTTGTTTCCTCCATTGGCTGCTGCTTTGCAGATCTTCTTCCCAGCACGTTGTGTCCAGAGCATCCCCAGCTGACGTGCCCCACGCAATAGAGCAGCAGTGTTTTTCCTTCCCAGCCCTCCATTTTCCATTCTATTTCAGACCAAAGAACCAAAGTCTTTGCACATAGGATGGTACCAAAGTGAGCCCGCCCAGAGCAAGTATTCAAGCCAGTGTGATCCTCTCTGCGTCCTGGTTTTTAAACTCTATGCTCAAGCCTCATCTATTTATCACCAAGATTTCCCTTTCTGACCTAAATGTTCTCATCCTCATATCCCATCTCTCCAGAGCAGATGCTTTGCACTCAATTGTAACTGTTTCCTGGCCTTTGGGTCCCAAGGTTAGAAGTTAATAACTTGATTTGTCATCAACAGCACATTTACAACATCTTTCCATGTGCCAGGAAAGTGGGACCGGGAATTGTCAGAGCCCTGACCTCTGCAGGGGCAGATGGCAGCAAGATTAACAGGGTGTGATGGGGAAAATCCCCTCCTCACCCACACTTGTTCTTCCTTGTGCTTGCTGTGCTCTCACCTGAGATGATTATCTACCTCTCTACTTCACCTTTGCACTGTTGAAATAACTGTGGCCCCTTGGGGCTGTCTTGCCAGTGTCAGAGAGCACAAAACTTCATACAGCATGCTGAGGAGTGCTCTTCAGGGGTTATTTATGAGACCTTTTCCTTGGCTCTCCACCATATTTGCAGGAGACATGCAGTATATGTATATAATGTATATAGACAGGTATATAGAGTGGAATGGGTTGCCCAAGGAAGTTGTGAATGCTCCATCCCTGGCAGTGTTCAGGGCCAGGTTGGATAGAGCCTTGGGTGCCCTGGTTTAGTGTGAGGTGTCCCTGCCCATGGCAGGGGGTTGGAACCACATGATGTTAAGGTCCTTTCCAACCCAACTATTCTATGATTCTATATAATAAAGTTATACTTCATTTAGTAGTCAGTTATAGCAGGCAAGAGGAAGATCCTCATTGCTGATGCAGGTGACTTGATTTATTCCATGCACTTAAAACTAGTGAACCCAGGCACCAAGTACCCCTAGTTGCTACCTATACAAGCAGGAGCAAACAGCATGTGAGAAAGGTCTTGCAGTCCAGCTAATCTAACACAGGCTTTGCCTTTCAGTTACTTTTATTACCCAGAACAGGAATTAAACCATGAGATCTGTGTGGGAAATCACCCAAAGCCTTTTCACTGCTGTATGTTTTCTGTTATCCAAGGTGCTCTAACTGTATTTTAGAGACGTATAATTTCCTCTTGCTTGGAAAAGCAGCTGAATCATGCTTGAAGATAGTTTCTTCCTCCTTCAGCTGGTTAGGGATCAGTCCCATTAATGATGGAACAGAGATAGCCAGAGGTGATGATTAAAACCAACTTCATTTAGACCTGCCTGTTGCAAACTGACTGAGCAGGTTCACCTTACCAGTATAATTCCCCTAACCAGGTTAGGTGTAACTGGACACACTAGGTTGGTTCTAGTGCCTGCTTCCTCATGTAATAAGATCTATCTCAATCAACGTATTGAACCTAAAAATCTATCTGCCATTCTTTGTAACAGTTTTCAGCTGAGTTCTATGTAGGAATGTCCGCACAAATTTGTTATGGCAAAGACACCGGGCTTTAATACTAACACCTTGCTTTTAACCTGCAGTAATAATCTAGTGAAGATGAGTGTGGAGCAACTCTGTTGCCTCAAAGCTCTCCTGGAAGGGTGAGCACAGTTCAAGGTGACTGAACTCCAAAGAACTGAAGAGATCAGTGGAGGCATTGTAGGGAGGATGCCAAGCAATGGGAATGTGCCATCATGCTCCAGTGGGCTGCCTAGAGGAACATCACAGCTTGCTGCTGTAGGGCCTCTGCAGAGCCACCCTTGACCACCCAGTCGTAGTAGTGGGGAGCTCTTTATAATGTTCTACATCTGTCATCTTATCAAGAGGCTGAGAGTGGAATTTGCTGTAACTGGGGCTGATGGGGACAGAAGCTGGGTCCTGCATGGGAACAGTCCCCACATTGGCCCATTGCTCACCAACAAAATGATGGGGGAATGTACCCAAGTCCAGGCAGGTGTTGTTCCTCTTTTCCATCAGAGCTCTGTCAGCTCCCACAGAATATTTCTCTGCCTAATTCCCATTGGATCCTGAGGCCGGTGTCCACTCTCCTCCAGTGGTAAACACCTCAATGCCCTGATCTGTATTCTCCATGGGAAGCAGTATGAAGCTGTGAATAGGAACATTGTGCCTCCTTTGGGATACAGCAGTGACCATGGCACTGCCTGGTACTCACTTGTTGCCTGTATAGCTGTGGAAAGCCAGGAAAGCTCCTCTGGATTCATCCTCACACCAGTGGACTCCAGTCCGCACCTTCGCATGGGCACCTCAGTCATGACAGCCACTTAGGGGGAGCTCTCCATGAGGGTGTGCAGAGAGGCTGGATTAGATGGATGTGGAGTGACACACGGATAGAAGTCACCTTTAAGGGAACGGCACTGCCTCTGCCCTGGGTTTGCCCAGCACAGGACGGTGCTGCCAGACATTCAGAGCTGTGACAGGGACAAACAGCAGGACCATGGCCAGTGTTAGGAGAAATAACTGGTCCCGAGGGAGCTCTTGGGCTTGCAAAGGGCTTGTTTGCTCCAGCAAGATGGATTTGTTACAAAACCCCCTCCGTTTTAACCGCTGCAATTTCCTCACTGGCAGCAGCAAAAAGGCAGCGACAGGAATAAAGCCTTGGCGTTAGTTTTCAAGTGTCCTTTTTAACAAGGGCTAATCAACAGTAAAATTAAGAGGCCCCCGGAGGGAGCTACCAGCGGTCCCGGCTGACTCACAGAGGGATATTTATTGCGGCACGGAACTCATCTGCATTTCCTCCCGCAGTCGGAAAGGGAGCGAACAGGAGATGTTTGTAGGGAAAAGGGGTGGAGAGCAGGGAGGAACGCGGGCCAGAGGAGCTGCTTTGGTTATAAAGAGCTAGGGAGGCAGGAGAGCAGCACTTCAGCCGCTGCTGGGTCCGCAGCGGGCTCTGCGATGGCAGACAGGAAACCTGAGTCACTGCATTCCTCCATAGGGCTCTTGGGCATTTCCGCAGGTAGGGATTGAGTCTTCTTGGCATGGGAGGATGAGGTTGGGATTAGTTTGCCTGGACAACCCCCTTTCCAAAGGGGGCTAAAGAGCCTGTTTAGTCGGAATCTTCTCTGCCTGGGTAATAGCTTTTAGATCCAGAGATCCCGGTGCCTGTTCCAGCAGCCAACAAAATATTTGTCTTGGCTTTCAAGTGCTGGCCTGAAGCTTTGGACTCGATCCATCCTGGGTGGGAAGCAAACCAAAACTTTGTGGTAGTCATTTTCATAAATGCTCTTGATTTGTATGCACTTTTCCTTTCCTTTCCTAGCTGTTTTCTCTGCAGCCGTTTTCATAGAGTCAGAGAATCCCAGCCTGGTTTGGGTTGAAGGGACCTTAAAGCCCATCCAGTCCCAATGGCAGGGACACCTTCCACTAGAGCAGGTTGCTCCAAGCCCCGTCCGACCTATTCTGTGTTCACTGCCTTTCACTGGCTGTGTTTCATCTCTCTGAGTGCTGCCCCTTCTCATTTTGCCTAGTTTTGTGTCAGCACCACGTTTATGTGACCATCTGCAGTGTGTCTGTGTCCCTCCCTGCCTGTCTGTGACTGTGAGCTGAGTTTTACCTTTTCCTGACAACGGGGGAGCACTTTCAAACGTGATTAAGTTCAAGTTTCTTAAAGCTGAGCACTCAGAAAGAGGTGAAACCTCGGACACAAACCGAGGTTCAAGACACCCTTCCTGCTCCCCTTAGGTTTCACTATGTGCAGGTCTTGTACTGTTGTTTGTCCCTCTTCCCTGCGCTTGCCACTCTGGTTCTCTCCTGGTTTTGGGGCCAAATTTACAAGCTCTTCCTCTCTCCCCCTCCCTTGTCACTCACAGGAGCACTCTTACTGGCGGTGCACTTCTACAGCTTGCCCCGAGCAGCCCCTCTGATCCCCAGCACAGCTCTGGGCATCCTTCTGCTGGTTTTGTCATCTCTTTTGGCATACGCAGGTAAGGCTCAGGGGGTGGCCAGCTTCAAGGCCTCCCCCTGCTATAGCTTTGCATGTACATGGTCTGCTTTCCAACAGGGTTGTAAATACCACAGCAGCCTTGTCACAACCCCGATTCATTCTGCTAGCGGGCACAGCAGATTTTTCTTCCATAGACAACCAAAGAAATCCATGTTAGTTCTGACCAAATGCTTTAGCAGCATCTCCAAGAGTTTTAACAGGCTGAATACATGTTTTCTCTAAAAACAGTTCCCAGGATCCCAGGCTTCCATGGATTGAACTGGCAAATGTGCAAATGCCAAAAGAACTACTTATGTGAGAGAAAAAATCACTGGCTATAACAAAGTCCACACTTCGGAATGAGCGCTGAGTTGTTTCTCCCTGTGAACTTGGAGCGATGAGCTCCCCTCACGCATTCTCATGAACACAAAGTGTTGTGCTGATGGAGTCTTTACGGTCATGTCTACACAGTGTAATGGTGCAGACCTACCCAAACTCATGTTAGCTCTGTCTAGCATCATGCAGGACCTGTGCAGCTCCATGTTAGCATAGTGATGATGCTTTCAATACACCATGTGCCTATAGCATAACCTACTGTCTCGAAATCACAGTCTGTCTCCATTATTGTTTGTTTCACAGGAATTTGGAGAAGCCTAAGAAATGCCTCCCTGCTCCTGTCCCTCTGCCTGACCATCTCAGTGTTCTGGTGTGGTTATGGAGTGGTCTTCATCCTGGAAGGGCAAGGAGTTTTGAAGGAC